AACTAAGATATTAGTAATATCTTGATACAGATAATCCCATTACTATAATTAAGATGATAAAAAGCTGTTTTATGATAAACAACTTATATTTCAAAAATACACATTTATTTCAAGAATTTCTGCATCTAGAAAATTGGGGTGTGTCGAGGGGATGAAGGCCCAAAAATATCAAGAGGAAGCAAACTAATTTGCTTGTAATTATTTATAATCAATCTAAACTATACTAACAGCTGTATCTTTAAAAAATCTAAGTTATTGCTCTGAAATAGAGCCAATATTAATATAAAATATGTTTTAACATTCCTTTCATATTATGTTAGGTTTAGTAAGACTTATCTCTGGTAGGTCAAAGGTCTGTTGTGAACTGATCTTGCAAAATCAGAAAGTTCCATTGTGAAATCCTGATATTTGACATATAAACAAAATATATATTATAGAAATTAGACATAGGAGCATGCATGGCAACTTAATTTGTCAAGAAAAGGCTTAGGTAATTGTGTGACTCTTTCAGGCAAAATACTAAGTCTAGAGGAGAGAATACAACACAAATTTCAGCATCTTCAAATTTGGCCTAAAGTAGCATTTCCACTTTAAACTTTAGTTTCTGGAAAAATTATCGTATAATAAGAAGTGTGTTTAATTTTGATATGGGGGGAGTTCTATTTGCAAGCACATAAAATCACAATGTAGACAATTAAAATTGTTAAGAAATTAATGTTAGAATAGATGTGAGGAACATATTTTACATATTTTAAAATTCCTAAATATCACCTGAATATTATTATTAAATGTATTGAACTCCACTTTTGGATACAATATTTCTGTATAACTGAAAATAGAATACATCAATTATGTTTGTCCATGGAGTAAAATTTAAAAAGTAGAGTAAAAAATGGTAAATGAATATGTTTAATGATTACAAATTAAACCTATCTTCACAAATGTTAACCTATCTTTATGTAGCATTTGTTGAATTATTCAGCAAATTCATAAATGCTTAAATAATATTTATCCTGAGGCACAAGACTGTGCCCATTAGAGACATATGATAACTATTATAATTGGAAATAAAAACAACATTTAGACCAGTGGAAGGAAATTTGAACTGATATAGGCCTGAGAGTCAGGGAGAAAGATAAAAGCATTAAAAATTTTATTGAGGTGCTTGGCAAATTGTACTGCTGGGAATTGAATAAGTTCATCAAGAAACAGGTGAATAAATTTGTTCCTCTGACCTTTAGAAACTCACACTCCAGTGGGAGAGGTCAACTTTAAGTAATTGTCACAAAGTACAATGAATGCTGTAATAAATATGCGGAAGCTCAAACAAGAAAATGTTAAAATGCCTGAAGTAGTTGTGGGAAGAACAAAAAAAAATAGGCTTTGTTTCTGTGAAATGAGAAGGAGCTATGCATTGTTGGCAGAGGGGATGACATATACAGAAGTACAGTGTTGTAACTAAATAGGACCTGGGCCGGGAGGAGGAAGGTGCAAGGAGGGGTCAGTCACCTTTAGCCTTGTGTGTACACCTGTCTTGCCTTTATTGCTTCTGATTTCTCCTCCTGCTCCCTCCTTCCGCCTCCTCCTCCTCCTCCTCTTCTTCCTCTTCCTCCTCTTCCTCCTCCTCCGCCTCCTCCTCCTCCTCCACCTCTTTCTCTTTCTTTTTCATCATCATCATCACCATCACCATCACCCAAGCAGTGCCTCAAACTGGTTACACTCTCTTCTTAACACACATGTATCACACAGTGTGGCTAGAGCATGGGAAAAGCGCTGAGAATCATGAGATGCGAGACGAGAGCTGTGTGAGCTGGATTGTGACTGCCTTTATATGCCATTTAATATGGTGATTTTAACACACTGACTTATTTTTGAATGTTGAAGCAACCTTGCATTCCTGACATAAACCCCACATGATCATGATTTATCATTCTTTTTATATATTGCTCTATTTATTTGTCTAATATTTTATTGAAAATTTTGTGTTCATGAGGGATATTGGACTATATTATTTTCCTTTAATGTCTATCTAATTTTGCTATTAAAGTAATGGTTGCCTCATAAAAAAATAAATAAAAAATAAATTATTAATTGATTGTTGAGGGAACCCTAGAAGCTCTCTCTGGTTCTTTTTTTTTTTTAATTTTTATTGGGGAATTGGGGGAAGGGGAACAGACAAGTCGCTGTCATTTTTGTTCTTCAGTCTAGTTGTGGAGGACGTTGCTTCACTGGCCCAAGTTGGCACCATCATTGATTGCGCTCTTCCCGGGCAAGGCAGATCCGCCGCTGGCTTCTGGACGGCCGCTCACTGCGGCTGCTGGCCGCTCACGCTGGCTGCTGGCTACATACGGTAGCCCATGGCAACCCACTGCCACAGGAGTTGCAGCCTATGCCATCGCCGGCAACTCACGGCAGCCCAGCTCCAACTTGAGCTGTTGTTCAGCATCTTAGCTGCAGAGGGCAGTGTCACTGACACTGGCCCTCATATGTGGGATCCGAACCGGGGTCCTCTGGCGTCCCAAACCAGTTCTTAACCATCACACCACTCGGCCGGCCCTCTCTCTGGTTCTTTAAAAGTCACCTTGTACCAGAACCACAGGATTTAAGTCCTAACAAGTCATTGAAATTCACTAAATTTAGAGACTCTGATTCCTTTGAAGTATAATATCTCTAATAGTAGACAAGAATGGATGCTTGTCTTTAAGTAATAAAGGCCCTACAAATTTCTAAGATTTCTTGGAAATCTCCAGTTTTATCCTAAAAATTGATGTCACTTTTATATTCTATTCCATATTATAGCCATGCAATATTGCATATCGCTAGGTAAAAATGATATTCAAGAATATAAGCCATATTTATCTCATGGCATTAAATACATTCTAACTCCTTTTCTATATATCATTGAAGTGTGTGTATGCCCCCAGATTGCCAATAATGTTAAATTGGCGCTGTAAAAAGAGTGTTAGTGCCACGTGAGTCCTTTCTTTTTGAAAAGAAATGATAACCATTTTCAACAGTTTTTAGTGAATAGTTGTCCAATTGTTATATTTATAATTACCATTTTGAATGTAATTAACAATTCTTAGTTAGTCCTATATAGCAGAAAAATTTACACCAACTACTTTGAAATCTGTGAGAGACATTTAATGTTTTTTTTTTATTGGTGATTTTAATTCATTATTCTGATGAGTAACTAAAAAGTGTTAAGTCTTCTCTTCTTTCGAAAAAGTCCATAGAGCAACAATTGCATGTGTTTAAAAATTGAAAATCTAATTCTGGAAAAAATTGTTCTACCAATGATAATTTGACTTGAAAATCTATATATTCTGCATTGTGGGAATGTTACGTATTAATTGTGTATATTTCATGTCATTAGACCCTCAGAAGCTGCTTTTAGTTTATAATTGATAAAATTTATTGTAGAACTTTTTTGGTGTCAATAATCTCATAATATAGGTTCCTTATCATTTTTCTTCCAAATATCTGCATAAATCACTAACCCAGAAATTTAGAGGCAGTGTAAAAAGGAACAGTTTAACTTGAGCATATCACATAAAAAGACCCTCATTACCTTGCCTTTGGCTCTGTTTCATAATACTCAACAACTACTCCATCTGCAGCTTATGCTGCAGTCCTGAAACTCCTAGCAGTTTCTCAAGCACCCTATGCTTTCTCAATTCCCTGCCTGGAATGTCCGTCTCCACTCTTCTCTGTCTCCCCCTTGGCATGCCTCCCCAGCAGTCAGTGTGCTGTCTTACCTGTGGTAATTGAAATGGAGATGGTTAGGATATGGACAAAAATGCTAATGTGGTACAGGAAGCAATAAGTGTTAAATTTTTTTTATGTTAAAAACAATAAAAATGTTAAAATTATATGGAAGAACTATGAGAACCAGAGAGAAATTGGTAAAAGGGAGGAGGTAGTAGTGTTTAATTATAATTTAGATACGCAAGGTGGGAATAATGACCTTTTTGATTAGAGTGTATCAATATGAGGAGGTAAAGGAACAAAAGAAGTTCATCAGGAACAGCAAATAATTTGATTACATCTACATAGAATATCAAAGTCAGGAGTTAGACTTTATTTTGATAAATCAAAGATTTTTAATTTTAATAAATGAAAGATTTTTAATCAAGAGATATTATTAGCCTTACGAGAGTAAACCCACTGTTTATATATCAGATGTGTGAAGTAGTAGGTTAGAATTGCCTGATGATTCTACTGTTATTTCTCCTCTAAATAGATAAGAATTGTATTTGAGGTATGAAAATAAAGTAATGACACTGGTAATATTATAGAAAATCTCTTGACTTCTTCCAACAGAATGTCATCCCTACAACAAGGAGAAAGGATGAATATTTCTATTTTGTTGCCATTACCCAAACTATTCTTTGAAAGCTTTTGGAATTGCCTTTAGAACCCATTTTGCATTCATTTAAGTGTTGTTTATAGTGGTAAATAACATTTTTATTCCATTGCAGGTGCTATTTTAAGACTAGCTAATTCATTTTGAAGAACTGCTTTTGCGAGTTCAAACATGTTGTTTCCAATTTCCTACTGTAAATCCTCCCTTGTTTCCTGGAATTACACAAAAATTTGTGTTAACATTAGTTAACTTTACGTTATGAATTTTTTGTTGCCCATGTATATTTTATATGCCTGCTTTTATTAATAAATACTTTATTCTCATAACCTGGGAAAGGATCGAATAAATTTTGAATAATAGAATAATCTGGGTTTAATGTTATACATATATATGTATAACATTATATATATAATATATAATATATAATATATACAGTCATAAGGTTATTTTGAAATTCAAAGGGTAAAAACACTGAAAAGCAATATCATTGTTCTGTGTAATTCCAAGCCCATCCCTAAACCTCTTAAGAGAATTCTGTTCATGAAGATAATAATATTTTGATCACTTTTAAATTTTAACTGAGGTTTTCAAACAATGATTAAAGAGACTATGTGGGCATGATTTTCTTTTTAAGGAAAAAGAACGGTTGAAGCAAGAAAAACGTGATGAGAAGAGATTAAATAAAGAGCGTAAACTCGAGCAACGAAGATTAGAATTAGAAATGGCGAAGGAACTAAAGAAGCCTAATGAAGACATGTGCTTAGCAGACCAAAAGGTAATTTGTCATGTAAACCATTTTATTAATACATTTATTAATTATTCCTGTGTTCTCACCTGATTCCTTTACCAGAGCTGCCATTATGAAAGCCTTCTGTTTTTAACCAGAGCAGTGATCTCCAAGTCTAGGTCAATCTGCTGCTCCTGGGTGGGTACCAATATACCTCATCAAAGCTCCTCAGCTGATAATGGCAGTTCTTAATATATAAGTGCATTACTACAAACTTTTTTAATTTAAGGAGAAAAATTGCAGAAATCTGCAAAGATGAATTATAGAAGTAGATAGGATTTCTATATTTTGTTTGGTCCTTCCTGGGCATTTAGGTACAGAAAGATCTAGCTCTTCCTCACATCCCCATAGATGATTAAATAAATTAGGATTTATAATCTATAAACTCCTTCAATGCTTAAGTATGGTAACTAATTTTTTTGAGTAGGTTTACTACATACTGGCCACTATGCTAAGAGCTTTCCATAAATTCTTTCACTTCATCCTCACCACAACCCTGTGGAGCTGTCATTAGTGCCCATGTACAGATGAAGAAAGTGAGACACATGGAGGTTAAGCAGTTTGCCCAAGGTGACACAGCTAATAAATGGCAACTTGGATTCAAGCCTCAGGTTGTTAAACTCTGGAGTCCATACTGTTTATCATCTTGAAAGCCAAGGAATGCGTCCAACCAAAGTTGTGTGTTTACTCTTTCGTCATGCTTCACAAACATGTAACATTACTAAAATACATAAAAGTAGAAATTTAGAAAGAGCAAAATAATCTTGGTAACTGGCATGATTTCACACACTTCTGAGTAGAAATCAATTATGTTTAACTATAGATAAGAAGATGGTATTTCTAGAAAATTATATCAATACTGCATATTATCTTTATTATACTGTCTGAGTAATATATTCTACTTGGTCAATAGCATCTATATTTACTTATATGCCATATTCAACTGACACACAAATAATTATTGTCTCTTGATTTATGTAAGCTCTTTCCTAAAGTGCTTAAAGCAAAATTTTAATACCCTACTTCTATTTATTTTCTTAGAATAAATGCTTCTAGATAAAAATAAAAGTATACATACTAGTTTTTGTTAAATTTAGTCAAATTTCCTAAGCACAGAATAGGTATATAGATAAGTTAACATGTTTAATAAGCTTAAAGCAATTTTTTTAATCCTTAGTGAAATTTATTTTCTTACATCTTTTATTTTTACTTAAATCCGTATGCCCTATATCAGATATATGTCCATTTTAAACCTCACTTTTGTTAGCTTTGTTATATAAATTTTTAGAATTATATAGAAATGTGTATGTCTGATACAGTTTAGGAAAAAAGAAAACTCAGAATTAAATGGTTTTCAAATGGAACAAAAGATTTATATAGTATCAGCCAGTTCTGTGCTTCCACACAATATTAGTAGAAAAAAAATGTTTGGTTAGTTATTTAAATGCAGGATGAAAGATGATTTTTTAACAAGGACCAATTTAGATAAATAGAAATACTTGTAGGTTGCATTTTTTTACAATCAAAATTTAAAGTACTGTTATTGAATCCCATTCATGGACAAAATATTTTTAATTTAGATTTATTTAATTCTTTAAATGTCTGCAATGACTGGTACTACAAATTAGTCATTAAAATTTTAATATGTGAACACATATTTAAGAATTAGCAGCTTTCTAATTTTAGTACTGAAACTCAATACAGTATTAATATTTCACTGCATATGGGAAACCTAAAGACTGCTGGTTGCAGTATAACTGGATTCTTGATAGGATTATGAGTTCTGGTCATTTATCAGCATTCATTAGCCAAAGATAGTACCAGCCTTTGCAAACATACAGCCCACGGATGTACACTGTTCATTTCTGAGCTACCAAAACAGTGTGAATTATAAATCAGTCTCCATGATTAGAACAAACCAATGCATGTGCCCTACTGAGTATGTCTATGGTAAAGTACTTTTGAAAAGTTTATTTCTTAATGGTATCTAATTTTTGACCCAGTTATATAACCCGTGTGTTATCAATATGTAAGTTAATTAAAATTAGTGTTACTCTTTTGCAGAGGTCTAAGTTCATACTGAGTTCAATCAAAATTTATTGATGGTTACTTGCATTCAAGATCCTATGCTTAGTACCATGGGGTTGCAGAAATGTACCCAGGGAATTTACCATCTGGAGGGAAAACCCACTGGTGCAATGCAAGAGAAAGAAAGATAACAACTTATTTTACTTCAGAAGATAAACAATCATGGCTTTTAAATTTTATTTTCAGCCTTTGCCAGAGTTGCCTCGTATTCCAGGACTTGTTCTCTCTGGAAGTACATTTTCAGACTGTCTCATGGTGGTGCAGTTCTTACGAAACTTTGGTAAAGTTTTGGGCTTTGATGTGAATATTGATGTTCCCAACCTGAGTGTTCTTCAAGAGGGATTGCTAAATATAGGGGACAGCATGGGTGAAGTCCAAGACTTGCTTGTGAGGCTCCTCTCAGCTGCTGTTTGTGATCCAGGTCTAATTACAGGATACAAGGTAAAAAAAAAAAACAATATAAAAGTTGTGGTTTTTTTTAATTTGTACTATACGTGCACTGATAGCTGTCTATAGCATGTTAGCAGAAGATTGTATAGAATGGACTGATCAGTTTTTTCTACATAACATTAAATGTAGATTTGCTTCAGGCTTCAATTGTTACAAACCTAGAAAAAACTGGTTCATAACACCACAGAATGTAGAACCTTCCCATGTTACTCTTTTTTCCTCTAGTTTTCAGCAAAAACCAAGTTGATTTAAGGGAATACCCTTAAGTGATATTCAGCAAAACAGAATTCATAATTCATGAAGTAATTAGAATGTAAGTGTGCCTTCTGAAATTATACTGTGTTCTCTGAATCACTGAGTCATGGAGGCTAATCAAGGCACCCTGAGACCAGCATGTGAAGACCACGTCTCGGTGGATACTCACTGAGTTCAGAGTTATCCTGGTTCCAATTCAGATACACATTTCAGTCAGCCTAGCTGTAGGTAATATTGTATAGAGAGAAGCTTCCAGATGCACCTGTTACTTTTTCCTCCGTCTCCCTATTCACTCAGTATACCAGACAATAAAACCCGTGACACCTTTGAGCCAGACAGCACAATAATAGTGCTTTCTGAACCCCCCCATCTTTCCCCAGTCCCTACCCATAATGGAATGTCTAAATAAAGCCTCAGAGAAAGTATGATAGACAGTTTCTACCCGTGAGTTTATATATTCCTCTCCCTGCCTCACTTTTAACCAAGTGTTTGATGAGGGAATAGAAATTGAATTGTCTATCATTTCCTGCTTATTTTTGTCTCCACTTCATCAAAAATGTACATAAAGCCCTTGTCAGTAATATCTAGATCAAATAATACCAATATTTTAAAGTCATATTGTTTTATGTTATGAATGGTTATGACCAATACTGATAAAAATGACACGATTTTATAGGCCAAAACAGCTCTTGGAGAACATTTGCTGAATGTTGGTGTGAATCGAGACAATGTTTCCGAGATTTTGCAGATTTTTATGGAAGCCCACTGTGGACAAACTGAGCTTACTGAGAGCCTGAAGACCAAAGCTTTTCAGGCTCACACGCCAGCACAGAAAGCCTCAGTCCTGGCTTTCCTGATCAATGAACTGGCATGTAGCAAGAGTGTGGTGAGGTAAGCATATGCCCAGAGTTTTCTGGTGATTCTTTCTGTTTTGAATTTTCTTACACAAAGTAATGCAAATTGCTTAGAGAGAATTTCAAAGCTACAGACTGGCTCAAAGAAAAAAATTTAAATAACACTTAGTATCACCATTCAGAGGTGACTAGTAATATTTTAATGTATTTCTTTGCAGTCCATCGAAAAGAAAATTTGGATCATACTGTATATAATCTTTGTAAACTCTTTTGTTTATTTAAAATTTTATTATTTATATACTAAAATGTAAAAAATATTTTTTCTTGCTGTGGTGCCAGAATCCAGCACTGTTGTAAGAATCCAGAATTTTTATTCCCTTGGCACTTTGAGCCACTCGGCTGGCCCTTCCTTGGCACTTTTGACAATAGATGACTACCTGATTTTCCTTAGTATCCATTCATAGAATTATCTAGCTACTTTTGATTTTATTATGTGCTACTGCAACTTTAATATTATTAATTTATTGATATATTAATTTGTACTTTTTAAAAAAGTACTTAATCTCATTTAAGTGTCAAAGTAAGTCCTCCACTGTAATATTTCAAGATTTGGTGAACAAATCCATGTTCATCTTGTTCTTGCTATTACAGATTTTAATTATATTACTTTTAGTTCTTTACCTTTTTGGGAAAAGGGTCTATCCAAATATTTCAGAGTTATGCATTTCTACTACTGCTGGACATTTTAAGTTTTCTATACTTGTCTTAACTATGATACTATATTAATATAATTTTTCATTTGTTTTTGTTATTGGCAGTCGTCATTTTTACTTAACAAAAAACTATATCAATTTCCTTACCAAATTAATGTGTTGCATAATGGATTAATTTATGTTTTCAATGAATTTTTGCATTGGCAGTGAAATCGACAAGAACATTGATTATATGTCAAACTTGAGGAGAGATAAATGGGTGGTAGAAGGTAAACTCCGCAAGTAAGTCCTGTTTTATTAAAATTAATTTTCTTTTTTCCCTTTTTACAAGTTTCCCAGTGAAACATACAAATTGCAAAGATAGAATTTAAACTTTATTTTTTCTAAGAATTAGAAAAGGTAAAGCTTAATTAAGATGAGATAAGAAATTAATAAAATACAGGGACAGAATTTGCATTGGACAAAAGATAATGAGATTTATTGAGCTTATATGCTTCAAACTTAGAAGAAAGTCCATTTATCTTTTTTCTTTCAAAGAAGTCAAGCAATCACATTTTCTAAGATTGTTGTTACTATCTGGTTACTTTAGTCATAAATAGAATCTGTTTGGAACTATCACTTTTTTTCTTAATTGCTTTCTAATTAAAGTTTGCTTTTACAGAAAGTCTAACATATCCAAATGTATTCAGCATTAAAACTTAATTAGCTTCCTGCCAGAAAATATAATGCTGAAATTATTCAACTTCTATGTTAAGAGAGTAGTTTCTTTGTGGTAATTTGAATTGAAATTTATTCAGTATTATAGTATAGGATCAGGAATGATCACTTGATCATTGCTGGAGTTAGTCTTTTCAGCATTCTAAGTTTTATTTATTTTTTTAGATGTGTTCTAATTCGAAAGAGATATCCAGAATTATTCTTGAAAGTTAATATATTCTGTAATTTCTGGAAACATATTGCTTACATTTTCTTTATTCTATTTTTTTTTTTGTCATTGATTTATTGCTTACAGCGAGAAAAATACTGTTAGGTATTTTCACTTAAAACTCACATTATACTCTTTAAAAAAAGTATAGAGAGGAACCTTTACTTCCATATCATCATTTTTTTTTTCATATTTAAAGGCTCAGAATCATTCATGCTAAGAAAACAGGCAAAAGAGACACTTCAGGTGGCATTGACCTTGGAGAGGAACAACATCCATTAGGCACACCCACTCCAGGACGAAAGCGAAGAAGGAAGGGAGGAGACAGTGATTATGATGATGACGACGACGATGATAGTGATGACCAAGCCGATGAGGATGAGGAGGATGAAGAAGATAAAGAAGACAAAAAAGGAAAGAAGGCTGATATCTGTGAAGATGAGGTAATCAAATTTAGGTTGATTTTAATACCTAACTAAGACTGTAATATACTGAAAAATAACACAAAATTTGGAGTCAAATGGATTGGGTTTAAAATCCATTTTGACACTTCCTTGCCTCCGTATCTTCACCTGAAAACTGAATATTATAATATTCACCTCATAAAGTGTTTTGTGATGGTTAGATAAATATTGAATAGAATGCCTACATGTAGAAGGCGCTTACATTGAATAAAAGAAGTTAAGTTTTTCTGTTTAGATAATGACTTGAGAGTTCTCCAAAGAACTGTGCATATTCTTAATTTCAGGTATTCCCTTTCATTCTATTAACATAACTGTCTTATATTTATACAATACTTCATGCCTCAAAAGTGTCGTCAGCTTTAGTGAACGGATGTGTTTCTCAAACACCAGTTTATTATGTGTGTGGCTTTGGGCACTTTTGATCAAAGATGTATAAGGCACTAAAAGTCCTCTCTCAATTTAGTCACTGAGGAAGATTTGCAATAAGAAGTGTGATATGTTAAGTCTTAACAGCTTTGATAGGAGTATGTACAGTGTTCTAAGCAGGTACAAAGGAAGATCATTCCTTTCTGAGGAATAAAGTCTCGCAAAGGCTTCCTGGACCCATTAGCTGCAGCTACAAGCTGGGCTGAATGTTAACCTGAGGAAGAATCCAGGGAAAAGTTTACCAGGCAGAGAGAATAGCATTAGCAATGGCACAGAAGCCTGAAACCACAGTGTGCTTTAAGGGACTCACAGGTACTTCGAGTGTTACTGGAGAGCCTTATACACAAGTACAAACTAGGATTTCATACTTTTTCAGTGATAGGAAGTCATTGAAGGGTTTTAAGTAAGGGAATGACATGATGAGACTTGATTTTTAAGTGGCTCACTATGGCAGCTCTGTGGAAGATAGAAATAGATTTGGGTAGGGCAAGATCAGAGGTGGGAAGATCAGGCAAGAGATTTTGCAATAGTTTACATGAGTTGAGAGGGGTCTGGAACTAGAACAATGGTAGTTGAGATGATTGATGCCAGCAATGTCAGCACAGTTTCATTAGAGAAGTGAGAGCTGAAGCCAGGCTACGATTGATTGCGAACAATAGGAAGTGAGAAAGTGAAGGTGGCTGTTTTAGCATTGTCCGTCAGAGGAAAGGGTAGCTTCTAGAGGGGGACAAAGACCAAGGACTTTTCAGAGGAAAGACTTGAGATGATTTTTGGTTGAAGGGAAAGTGTCAATAAAATGAGAGAGAGGGATTGAAGATTAAAGAGATAAAGAGAATAGTTAATGGTATAAGATCCCTAAAGATATTGGAAGGTATTCAATCATAGTGAAGGGACTAGCTTTTTGAAGAGTAGTCAAAAGGGGTGGAGTCAAGGTTAGAGAGAGAGAGAGAGAGAGAGAGAGAGAGAGAGAGAGAGAGAGAGAGAGAGAGTAAGGGAAGCTACCATAAGCCTTGGAAATGGATATGTGTAAAAGCGAGATAAAAATTCAAGTTCACCTTTTACCAAAAACATACTAGAAATATTGATAGGGCTACAGAATGGTACTCAAGAAACAGTATACTCGTACAGCCAACCATTCCTTCTGCCCTCAATGCCAGAAGTGTTCAGCTAAGGAAATCCAGAAACAACTCTTTCCCTTTCTTGCATCAACTCAGTAATGCTAAAGAAATTAAGAAGGCTTAAAGGGATGGCTTTAGTGATGGAATATGTGAAAATAATATCTAATCAAGACCACTGATAAATTACTGAATCACAGTTTTTACTGATTCTGGATAATAATATAAAGGTACTTACAAGATAAAGTACTACATAATTCTCTGAAGTAAAAATAGCATAACTATAAAATGCTTTCATAAATTCCTCCCTTAACATTATATTTTAAACCAGAATGATAAAATCACTGGAGTGAGCTTTACTTCTTTTGAGAGTACCAATCTGAAAAGGAGACCACACTGAGATTCCTTACAGAAATTATTTCATGATGTTATATTTTGAAACCATTGGATCATATATTTTATGCTGTGACAAATACTGTGAAAGGTATATAATATGGATATTAGAATTGTAATTACCTAAACACAAGATACCATTTATAACCAGTCTGCTTTATTTGTCAAGTGGAGCTGTTTCCATAGCAGGAATTAAACCTTTCTGATCGATATTAATCATCTTTTCACAGAATTAGCGTCCTTTCTTAGCATTTTTGTTATAAACTGTTTTAAAGTGTTAACTCTTATCATTTTGACAACTCTCTATTGAGATTTCAGTATATTCTACCGGGTAGTTATCCCACTGAATTAGTATTTATTTACCGAAATTATTTGTTTTGCCTGGCTTCCTTTTTCACAAGGAGAATCGACAAAACATATATTTTTTTCTTTAAGGGAGATAAAGACTATTAAAAATTGATGATTTAAAAATTGTTGGTTGTTAGACCAGATGTGTCATTTAAAATAGTATTTTGTTTTTTTATGTGTTGAATTATACAGTTAATTAGATTATAGGGTTTCATTGATCAGAATCCTCGCAAATCTTATTAATGTGAGAAAGTAGTTTAAATTTTGAAAAAAATAATGAATATTTTAGGACAAGAAGCCACATTATCATTTCCTTTAAATGAATTGAGAGTTAATCTTTGTAATGAAGAACTGATAGCTACTTAACAATTTCCCAATAAAATAAAGTTTTAACTATGTAATGAACCTGATTGATAAGATAGGCACATTATTCCTCTAAAAATAGGTTTGGCCTCTTGATTAATGTATAGGTGGAGTGTTAGTAGTTATACCTCTTAAAGAACTGATTGCAGGGAGCCTTTCCGTTGAGACTCACTTGATCCCTTTCAATTAAAAGATACTGTTATTGATTAAGTTGTAGCTCTTTGTCTAAAAGATGATTCCCTCTTCTCCTCACTCGTCATTCCTTCAACGCATGGAGTCTTTCCCTAATACTTATATTAATGTTGAAGCCTATGTGAGCTTTGACCTCACAATTTGGCATGTGAGAGGTTATATAGACAATTAACTCTGACACATAGGGATATGTAATGACTCTCTTTTGGTTGAGAAACCATGGAGAACCATGGCTGGCAAAGATTCTGTGTTCTTAGTTTTGTTGTTGTTGACCTTCTCTCTGGTCTTTCAAATTCCTCATATCTCTTAAAAGTATAAGGATTATTAGCCAAAACTTATTTAAACAAAACTTTACTAGACATTTTGCTTCTTTTGCATCATAGGAAGTCTTAGAAATGGCAGTTAATTTGTCTGATAGATAGCTACTTTGATGTCTTATTTCAGATATTTGTTGATTGAATTGTGTTTTTAGATCATCAAACATTTATCCTGCTGGTCAAAAGATCGCTTTAGAATAGTATAGATATGTAAGTATCTATTCGAGAGTCAAGATTTAAGGGTCAGCGAGCCTGTTCTCTTTTAAGGTTTCTTTAATCCCAAACAGAAATCATGTTACTATTAGCAAAAATAATATGCCTAAATGCCTTTGTAACTTGGTTCCCTACATTTGGATAAGGAGTGGATAAATGATAGATAATGGTAACGCTATTGAGGTTTTCCTTTCACTGGGGAGATAATCATACTAATTCAGAAATATCTGTTCATGAGTAGTTGGTGGCAGTGTGGTTTTTAAAAAATGCTCATAGAAAATGAACATCAAAAACAAGTCCTTATTTTTTTAAACCTAAGATATATATGAATCTTCTCATTAAAGTACAATTTTCAGAAAGAAGGAAAGTAACCTGTTTACGTATTATGTGCCAGCAACTCTGTTATTTTTTCAAATCAGTTCTTATTTAGTCCTTACAAAAATTCCATGTTACAGATGATGTTATCACCAGTTCACAGTTAAGGAAACAGACTTAGAAGAGTTTAGTAATTTGCCTGTATTAAATAGTGCAGCTTTTATTATACTTCATGCTTTTCCTCTAAAAGTACCCTCCAATTTGAGGGTACTTTTCTTCTATTCATTTTCTTGAATGAAAGATTTCATATAATCACATATAAACTTTCCATTTATTAAATCAGCACTATATGTAGTAGGGATTATTTTCCTCCTAGAAGCTCAAAGTGTTCAAAATATAACTTACCTTCTTTGCTCTTTTTCTTTTAGTTTATGGTACCTATATTTTTGCAGTCTCCCAGATTTAAACCCTTAACATCATAATATACTTCTTCCTTCATCTCCCTCACCCATCTCTGCCTCGTATCCATGAGTTGCCAGGATTTAACAGTTCTACCTGTGTAATATCTCTTACATCCACTTGCTTTTCTCTATTTCTTTTACCCTAGTAAGGCCTGCATCTTCCTTTTTTCTTTATCATTGCAGCAGTCTATTAGCTAGACTTGCCAATTCTAGTCCTTAACCTGCTCCAGGCCATTTTACAACTATTGACATATTAATCTTTGTGAAGCATAGTTCTGATATTTAACCCCCCGCAAAGGATTATATTGTTGTCCATTGCCAAATATTTGCAGCATAAGACAGTTTAGGCCTAAACTCATCTTTGCCTTATCTCTCACCTTACCTTTTCATTTGCCTTTCATGTCGAGATATATCAAACTCTCTTTCTGGAATGCCCTTTCCTCTTTTCTCTGATTAATCAGTTCCTAACCATTCTTCAGTAACTTCTTCCATTATAGCCTCTCTTGGTCTAGATTCCCATAGATGTAATCTCACCTTCCCCTGAACTCCATGACTCTTAATCTCTACCTCTCTGAGGTCCTTATAGCTTGCTTCCTAATGTTTGGTTTTTTTTGTATTTTAGTGTAGTGTTTTTGTGTCTCCCTACCAGATTATTAGTTTATAAAGAGCAAGAATGGACTTCTCTTCATTTGCATAGGGCCTATCCTAGTACTTTGCATATAGGAGGCTTTCATTCAATATTTGCTGATTGATTAAATAAATAAATCTTAAAAACAGGTAAATGATACTGTATTTTGTTTATGTATAGGATGAAGGTGACCAAGCAGCAAGTGTTGAAGAGCTAGAAAAACAGATTGAAAAACTGAGTAAAGTAAGCACTTTCAGTTTACAGTTTATATCTTTTTTTGCAGCGTTTTAAAAATCTGCCTTGTATGAGATCAGTTGTTTTGGCTGTTAAATAAAAAAAAGTTTTTTGTAAATAATTAAAATGAAGAGCTCTAGAAACATTTCTCACAGTTAAACCTTAAAAGTTGAATATCAAGGTTAAAAGCCTATTTCTTAAGACACAGCACTAAACTTAATCAAGGGGTATATTCTTCAGCTCTTTATTTAAATATAAAGTATCTATAAATGCATGGTTTTATTTCTTGGAATTAATTACCTTTAAAATTCTGCCAAATTTCATGGTAACAGTTTCAGCATTTTGTGTTTCAATTTACATTAATATATTTGTGGATTTTATTGCATTTATAAACTGTATATACCGAGGGCACCAAAAAATAGTATGCAAGTGGACACTTTGGTCAACGTTGCTCAAGCAGTAGTTCACCATAATCAGAAGTGCCTGGACGCTGATGGTAACTACTTTGAGCACCTCTTGTAATTGCAGAAGTTGAATGTGACTTGTATTCATCTATTGTTATTGGTGTATATTGAGTATTACAATTTTAATACAGTTTTCCTTTCTTAAAATATGTATACATTTTTTTGGCACCATATGTATTTGCATACTTCTCATTAAAAACTAATTTCAGTAGCATTAGTGAAGTTTTAGATGAACTTCTTGTTAAAAAATGAGTTTTTAAAAGTATTATGAGATTAATATTATGAGATACCTATATGTTATATCAATATTAGATTCATCACAAATTTATCCCAAAATTTAGTCATATGTTGCCTAGGTTTACAGATGAGTATGAAAATAAGCAAATACAGCTATGGTCAGTTATATTCATGAGATTATTTGTTATACACTAATCAATGAAATTGAACCAGTTTGCTTTGGCTCAATAAAGTACTTGATCACATTGTTAATTATCAAGTATAAGGCATGATTTACTATAAGACAGATACCTGATACAGTAAAACTTATCTTTTTAATTTATGGCATGAAAAAGATTCCAATTACTCTCAAAATAATTTTTATCTTCATAAGTGTTACTGAAATTGAAGACAGACATGTAATACTTAGCTTTCCTATCTTTTCCCAGCAGTGAAATTTATTTGCTCTAAAGCCATGATACGATAAAGTCATGTACTAATTTTTAAAGCTCTTAACTTCTATAGCTTAATTATATGCATCATTTTTTAACAGCAACAGAGTCAGTACAGAAGGAAGCTCTTTGACGCTTCTCACTCTTTGCGTTCCATGATGTTTGGCCAAGATCGTTACAGACGCCGGTACTGGATTCTTCCCCAGTGTGGGGGGATTTTTGTCGAAGGCATGGAGAGTGGTGAAGGTAGGAACTGTTAATCTATTACAAAATAATGTAAAAAAACATATTTTCTGAAGCCCTGTTTACTTCTTCAATGTGTTTTGGGCTTCCAGAATCAAATTTGCTTTATGGATAAACATTGTAAAACTTTGATTCTTATTCCTTTTTAACTCATAATGCTCCTTTCACTGATAAATATTTCTTCCCTGTCCATGATTTTTCTTCTGCTACTCTTTCTAACGTAAACGTAAGCTATTCTTTTCCTTACTTAGTGGACAAAACTCTTTATCTGTATTATCCTTCATAGTTGCTGCTCCATTTCCCTTCCTTCCCATTGTCAAATGTTCCAACATGTGGTTTATTCTTTAACCTCTGCAATAAGCATCCATCATGACAGTATCTCTGGAGGTAACTTGCTCAAATCTTCGATTCTTCTCATAATGCTCTTTCTTCTTGAGATCTTGTTCATGTTTGAAATTTGTGATCACCTCCTTCGCCATTAAACTTCTTTCTGGAGTTTTTTGTTACCACAATATTCCTTGATATTCTACCTTTAGACTATTCTTTTGCTGGCTGCATTTCTGTTGGCTGTTACATTAATTAGCACAGCACATAATGAATTTACGTGCTCAGTAAACTGTCATAAATTGAAGTTTTCAAAACTCTGTGATTGGGCAAATGTTTAAATTCTGATGGGGCCAAAAGTGTTATATCAGGGCATACAGATTTTATGATGTAGCTGCTGCCCTGTGGTGGTACAAGGAGGCAAAAACTTCTTTCAACACATTTTATTTTTAAATACCCACTATGTGCCAGGCATTTCTAGGTGCTGCAAGAGGTTCAAAGATACATAAAACATAATCCATGCCATGTAGAAATTTAACAGCTCAAAGGGGAGAGAGGATTGATTAATCACATAGCTGTCTAAAACAGAAATTATATAAAGCAGTTGTTTTTAAGCTTTTTGTTTGTGGCAATGGAACCACCCTTATTTTTTCCCAATAAAAATCTTATGTGGGGAGCGGTTAATGAAATAATGCATGTGAAGTATTTAAAATAATGGTGGCATGTAAGAATTGGCATATAATAAACAGTATTGTTATGATTTTGCATAATAATATATTTCCTGTGGATTCAAATTATATGAAGCAAAAGTGTAAAATCGTGCATTAGAATGTATGAAGGCATGCTCTGTCTTCCCAGGACAGGAGTTGCTGGTGGAATCAGGGAGGGTACATGTCGGCTTTAGTGGTGTTCTTTTGAAAATTTGATGTAAATGGGTTAGCATGTTGATTTGACAGGATAACATGTTACATTCTTTTTATAATTGTTTCTTAATATTTTAAAAAATATTTTAAGCATGGAAAAAAATGAAATGATAATAAATACAGCCCATTAATTAATTGAAAGATAATAAATAAAAAACAAGTGGAACTATATTATACTAAACCCATCAACAAAATGAAAAGGCACTTACAAGTGGGAGAAAATATTTGAAATCATATACCTGATAAGGGGCTAATATCCAAACTATATAAAGAACTCATACAACTAAATAGCAAAAAAATCCAATTAAAAAGGGGGCACATAACTGAATATATATATATATATATATATATATATATTCACAGGATGTAGAGTACAGTGTAGGGAATAGAGTCAATGGAATTGTAACAGCTACATATGATGTCAGAGGGGCAGTAGAGAGGATTATCACTTTGTGAGGTTGTAAATGTCTAACTACTACATTGTTTTGTACACCTGAAACTAATTTAAAAGTGTGTGTGTGTGTGTTGGGGGGGGTGGGCAGAAGATCTGAATAGACATTTTTCCAAAGAGGACATACAGATGCCAACAGGTACATGAAAAGATGCTCAACATCACTAATCATCAGGGAAATGCAAATCAATACCACAATGAGATGTCACCTCACCCTGTTAAAATGGCTATTAATCAAAAAGACAAGGCACAATAAATGTTGCTGAAGATGTGGAGAAAAGGGAACCCTCATTTGCTCTTGGTGGGAATGTAAGTTGGTGTGGCTTCTATGGAAAACAGTATGGAAGTTCTTTTTAAAAAATTATAAATAGAACTACCATATTATCCAGCAATTTCACTTCTGGGTATTTATCCAAAGAAAATGAAAACACTAGGGAAGATATATGTACCCCCATGTTCAATGAGGCATTATTTACAATAGCCGAGATATGGAAACAACTTGTGTCCATCAGTGGATGAATAGATAAAGAAATTGTGGTTTATATTTATATATATAATGGAATATTATTTGGCTGTAAACACGAATGAAATCTTGCCATTTACAGCAACATGGATGGACCTTGAGGGCATTATGCTAAGTGAAATAAGTCAGACAGAGAAAGCCAAATACCAAATGATCTCTCTTATATGTGGAATCTTTAAAAAAAGCAAACAAAAAAAAAATAAAAAAGATAAACTCATAGATATAGAGAATAGATTGGTAGTTGCCTGAGGTGGGGGGATGGGAGGTAGGAGAAATGGGTAAGCTTTTTTGTTTTGTTTTTTTAGTTTTAATAAATTGTTTAAATAAAAACAAAATCTTATGCAGAACCCCAATACCTAAAAATAATAGCATTGTCCTAGTTGATGTATTTGGGGAACTCCTAGCGTTTCCAGCTGGACCTCTACCTTTTATATTTTCTTATCAATCCAGGGGTGGCTCTTGAGGCAACTCTAAGAAATGTTAGGAGGTTGCAAATCAGAGAGTAAGGTCAGAGCCATCTAAGGCATAAGCACAAAGTGACTTAAGAGCTCAAAACAGGGAAATGTTACATAGCCCATTTAATATTTTTTCATAACTTTTGGTCATCTTTACCACTAGACTGATCTCTTCAGGGCAAAGACTAATTTAGGGAGGGGAACTGTAATAAAATAATCTGGGAGTTAAGTACACTGTATTGAAGTAAAAAGGTCTGGAGAAATCAGTTGAGACCATTTCAGTAGCCTAGGTAAAAAGTAGGGAGTCCCTAATCTCAGGTGCAAACAGGGAGAATGGGAGACAGAGGTATCTTGAAGGTAGAATTGCTTAAATTATTGAATATGATGTAAGAAAGATGGAATCAGAGATAAATTTGATTAATTAACCTCAGTAGAAAAATTATGATGCTTTAAACTGAATCAGAGGAGTGAAGAGGAGGAGTTTGTTTAGAATGAAATTAAATGAAAGTTTTAGTATAGAAATCTCATTTAAAATGACAAAACTGTCATCAATAAATCAACAAACAACAAGTGCTGGTGAGGTTGTGGGGAAAAGGGAACCCTGGTGCACTGTTGGTGGGACTGCAGATTGGTGCAGCTATTATGGAAATCAGTATGGAGGTATCTCAAAAAACTGGAAATGGAACTACTTTAAGACCCAGCATTTCCACTCTTAGGTATCTATCCAGAGAAACCCAAGACGCTAATTTGAAAAAATATATGCACCCCTATGTTTATTTCAGCGCTATTTACAATAGCCAAGACTTGGAAACAACCAAAATGCTCATTGGTAGACGACTAGATTAAGAAACTGTGGTACATTTATACAATGGAGTATTACTCCGCTATAAAGCAGAATGAAATCTTACCATTTGCAATGATATGGATGGACCTAGAGACTATTGTTAAGTGAAATAAGTTAGTTGGACAAAGACAAATACCATATAATCTCACTTATATGTGGAATCTAAAAAACTGAATGAACGAGCAAAGTAAACAGAAATAGTCTCAGAGATATAGAGGAAAAACTGATGGTTGCTAGTTGGGAGCGGGTGGAGATGAGGGAGAAGGGGAAGGGGTTAGACAGCATAAATAGGTCACTACAGTATTGCCACAGGAATATGAAAGACAGTTCAGGGAATATAATTAATATCTGATGGTTACATGTCTTGTTAGGGAGACCACTTCATGGATGGGGTAGAGGCTTGATCACTGCACTGTACACCTGAAGCTGATGTTGTAGAATATTGTATGTCATATATATATATATATATATATATATATATATATATATATATATAGTCATGGGATGTGGAGTATAGTGTGGGAGTGGAGTCAATGGAATTGTAATAGATATGTATGATATCGGGGGTAGGGCGGAGTGAGGCGGCAGATTGGGGGAGGGGGGTTGTCACTTTGAGGAGTAATAAGTATAACTATTGCACTGTGCTGTACACCTGAGACTAATTTAAAAAAAATTTAAAAAGAATTTAAAAAATAAAAAAATAAACTGACAAAACTCTGAGTCACTTGGAGATGCAGAGCCTTGTTAAGCTTAAGAGCAAATAAAGAAATGTCCAGGCCAATGGCTTTACTTTAGCTGTAATGAAAATAACCTGTGTCACTAAAAAAAAAAAAAGAAAAAAGAACAACCCTCGAGTATGAATTTATGTAGACCAGTTTACTCATGTTTGCTAACATGTGTACATTCTTCCCTCTGTATATTTGCGTACAATACTTTGCCAAATTCTGTTCATATTTCACCTATCTTTCTAGATCCAGCTCAAATCCTAGCCCTTTTATACAGTCTTCCCCAAATTATTTAAGTGGAACTAATTTTTATGGTCTGTGAACGCCTAGAAAACTAAATAATTATACGTTATCTTGGCACATTGATATACATACTATTTTTTATTATTATTTTAATTTTATAATCCTCATGTACAACTTTTTATTCTCTCAAAGTGTTAGGCATAGTACTTTACATACCACAGGCACACTAAAAAATACTTGAAATGGGTAACTAAATAATTAAATGTCTTTATAAGGTTTATAAGATTGCTTACAGGAGACTTTTTAAAACAATTTAGGGTCTCAGATTAACTAACGTTGATTGAATTTGTAGTATTAGACCTCAGTTTGCACTCAGGCTCTACCATGTAACTTCTCAGGACCCTGATTTCCCGCTCAATGAAAGAATTTTAATAGGCACTGTATAAATTAATTGATTTTTATAAGGATCATGTGAAATAATGGATCTAAAAGAGCCTAACAAGTGATATATAAAT